AATAGCCGTATTTGCCAAATGACAAATGAGTCGAATAGGCAGGATTGTGCACCAGTGAGAAGCAGCTCTAGATGCATATCTACCATAGCAGCCATGACATTTGAATAAAGAGCGATAACAACCTCCATTCCTTCCCCTCGCCGATCATCGGGCTCGCTTTCCAGAAAAAGTTCCTGGAGTACACCCTGAGTTTGGGCCCCTGCCTTTTGAAACGCTCCTACGCCTGTGATTGAGGCATATATGGCAGGTTTGATGAAGTTCTTATGACATTCCTTTTCTATCGATTTCGGCAAAGAAACCTGACATGAGCTAGTTCCATGGACCAAAACGCGCAAGTGTCATCGGCGTATCGGATGTGCGATCATAGTTTTACATGGCATATAACTGGAAGAAAAGACGAGTCCAGACAGAGCATAGATAATAAAGTCTAGCAAGATGATAGTTCAGACAGTATCACTAAACGCGAAAGCACTAAACGTGACGAAGAATGCAACAACTTGTAGGAACATTCCGTTTACAGAATAAGGTCGGTACAGTGAGCAAAATCGAGGAAAGCTTGATAGCTTATCGTCCTTTGGTATTACACCAACTGAGTGCTCACTGACTGTTTTCAAGAACCATCTCACATATTTGACTATAGCCTGGTGCTCTTTGCAAACTCAGTGCACAACTTGAACGCATAGCTATAGGTAATAGCCGTGCACCACCCCCTACCTCTAGTATTTGTTTTCATTCTTCTGTCTTTCGAAATGAGGCTTAAGTTAAGGTGTTGATGTGTTGATTTTCTTACATCGGAGCCTAGGAGACTGACTGGCTAGACAACTTTGCTAAAATTAGACGCGCAACACCAGCATGTCTATCATATCGGCACATAGCGCGCAGTAAAGTTAATTGCTTCCTCGACACCTTATTTGTAGTACCGCCAGATGGGACCTAAACCACAGCAACACGCTTCAAGCCCATGGTGACCCGATTATACATACACTTGGCGTCGGCACGTTCATGACTAAACAACAAGCAGCCCTGAAATCACAAATATTATAGACGTTGAGCGTTTCTTTCTGGCCCTTTCCAGTGAGTGTGAGCGTAATGTGTAGGAAAGTAGATTTAAAGGAAGTGCTCCTCGTTTTCCAGAACAATACGTATTCGTAAAAACGAGCATCAAGTGGGCTTGTATTGCGCCTCCTCGATGTAATTCCCCTTCACGTCCAAAAATAAGTCGTAAAAAGGGGAAGCAAACGCTTTCGGAATATGTGGAACCTTATTTATAGATGGCGTAAACTGAGAACAGGGATATACCGCGCTACCACTGCACAGTGACATGATTGCAAACAGGAGCAGATCCAAGATTTCATCAAGGGGGCGGGCACGAAACATTGTGGGCCCCCTAGAGTTTGGGGCCCCTCTAAAAAAAATCTGACATGACATGTTAAAACAAAAAGGATATATACATTACACCCCTAGCTTTTTGGCGCAACTGGCGATAGCTTTCAGCCTCAGTTTTTTTTAACCCTTTTTAGCCCTCGTTCTCTAAGGGCTGCGCAGTGTAACATGGGTTCCAATACTTACATTAGTTATCATATGCAACAGATATGGATATAGGTATGCATATATATATATATATATATATATATATATATATATATATATATATATATGTGTGTGTGTGTGTGTGTGTGTGTGTACATATATGTAATGGTAAATACGGGAGCCCACTCAAAAAATATGCATGACCTTAGGGTAGCGTAATTAGCAGTCCTCATCTGAATTTCATTCTAGTTGGCCTCTCCGGGAAACCGTAGTGTTCCGTTCGGGGTAAAAGTTGGTCTTGTATGCGCTAAAAGAGTGAAAATGAAAGTTCTAAAAAAACGGGGAAAGACATCAAATCTCTAGAAGCTTAAGTGCAGGGGCAGTTCATGTGGGATAATCGAAACGTAAGATTTCAGACCGCTTCATTGGACACCTCAGTGGTGCACGTAAAACGGAAGGTATGCACATCGTTACGTAGGAAAACATCGCACGGAAGGTATGCACATCGTTACGAGGAAAACATAAGCAAGTAAACTGTTTAAGCATACCTAATGTCGGAATTAAGTAGTTGCAAATCGCGAGCGTAGCTCGATCGATGCATCATTGCACAAACAAAACACTAGCTATAAAGAATGCATGTTCACGCAGGAGACAAGTACTCATTATATTTAAATCGTTGCACGCAATTGTCAACTTTCTTCGAGGCAAGCAGGCATGCACCATCTTGGGACATCACATAAGCAGCGTTGTTCATGCGAAGTACATCTAGGGATGGCGCTTTAGTCATTGCCTTGAACTTGGTGCTGGTCATCCGTGACTTCAAATTTAACCGTCTGTGTTTCGATCAGCTCTCCGCACTTACCGGATATGGGGTGTTTCGATAATACCATATTGAAGAATATTGCTTCATTCAACTATATCCACTACTGAGTACGAAACATCTGTGATGTTAACTTGCTATTGCTGAAAACTATCCCATAGTAACCACAATGTGGTGTATGATGCCGGAAACAATTATTAACCCGAAGCTTTTTGTTGTTTGAACTTATTTGAGGCTATTAATCCTAACTTATTATGTCTGCATGATACTGACAATCGAGCAGTCAAGATCGGCGTCCACAATCACCCACTGCTGGTATCGATTTCGACAATTGCATTTGTGGGCATAGCGCGGCTATAATTCCATTTCATATTCCGCCTGCTCTCAATGTTTTTAAGCAGCCCAAAATGCAAGCAAACTTTGCCGGCTCAACTTTGACAATAAGCGACTAATGCTCGGCACGACACTTCCAGCCGGCTCCATTGCGTCGGAGAGCGGATATTGATTTGCTACTAAGCTAGCAATCCGGCCGGCCAGCCTCACGCGCGTGGCCTTCGTAATGGTGCCGACTGTATGCGCGCGGCCGGCGCTGGGCGGGGCAACGCTGCCTGCCAATAAGGCGATTATTCATACCTTGGCGGCCACTCTAGGAACTAGTTTGGAAAATTTGGTCTTCGGACACTCTGTACCTTGGGCAATATGTGTATTGGACATTCAATACTTTGGACATTCTGTACCTTAGACATTCTGGATATTGGACGTTATTAAACGAACCCCTTCCACTCTACACTATGTTGGAAGTGATTTCTCATTTTGGACATTGTATGCCTTGGACATTATGGACATGGGACATTCTGTACCTTG